ATGATGATAATAAAGATAAAAATAATAATAATAATAATACTGATGGTAATGATAATGATGGTAATTATAATACTGATGATTATAATAATATCAATGATGAGTAGGATAATGATGATGATAATAATGATAAAGATAATGACGATTACAATAACAATGATAATCATGACAATAATTAAAATGATGGTAATGATGATAATGGTAATAATGACGACGATAACGACAATTACACAGATGACGACGATGTCGTTAAAGACAACGTTCACGGTGACTATTGTTATAATGATGACTATAATCATAATGGCGACGACGATTATAACGATAATCATGGAAGTTTTGATGATAATGACGATGATGATCATAATGATGATGATGATGATAATAGTTATTATGATGATGATAATAATAATTGAAATGCTGACGATAATAATAATGATAATGATAATGATGATGATAATAATGATAATGATAATGATGATGATAATAATGATAATGATAATGATGATGATAATAAAATAATGTCGATAATTATAATGATGACGATAACAATTATAATAAAGTAGATAATTATAATAATTATATTGATGATTATAATGATGATGATAATTAAAAAACTAAATATGAGAATGATGTTTATAATGATAATGATAATGTCGAAGATAATAACGATGATAATAATATTAATAATAGTGACAACGACAACGATGACAACAACAACATTGACAAATTACAATTACGACAACGTTACCAATAACGATAACAACGACAACGACTACTAAAGCAAAGACAATGACGACGATAACATTGCCAATAACAATGATAATAAGAATGACGATAACAACAATAATGATGATCATGATGATACTGATAATTGTGATTCTAATGATGTTCACAATGATGATGATAATGATGTCAATGATAATAACAATCATAATGATAATAATAAGTGTGACAATGACAACGATAACAACAACAACATTGACGATTGACAATTACGACAACGACACCAATGACGATGACAACGACAACAACTACTAAAACAATGACAAAGACGACGATAACAATGCTGATAACGATGATAATAATAACGACGATAATGATGATGATGATGATGATGATGATGATGATGATGATGATAATGATGATGATGATGATAATGATGGTGATAATGATAATTGTGATGATAATATTTTTCATAATAAGAATAATGAGAATAATCATGAACAATGATAATAATAATAATAGTGATAATTATAATGATGATAAGAATAATGATGACGGAATTGATAATGATAATAATGACTATGATAATGATGACAACAATAATGATCATGATGACAATGACAACAATAATGAAACGATAATCAGGACAATGACAACGACAACAACTACACGGTCGACGATGACGACAAAAATAACAACGACGATGAGAATGACAACGACGACAAAGCCGACGATGCTAATGACAACGACGATGACAATTACAATGTTGATAACATTGAAAATAATGACAAAGGCAACGACAATGACAATGTTAATTACTTTAAAAATGATGAAAACGACGACGACAATGACAATGTTAATAACAATTAAAATGATGAAGATAATTTCGATAGTAATAATGATTATAAGAAAAATTTCAATAATAGTATTAATAATTGAAATATTGACGATAGTGATGATGATGATAATTATAATAATAACAATGATGATGACGATGATAATAATGATAATGATGATGATAATGATGATGATGACAATATCAATCATGATGATGACGATAATAATAAGCATGATAACGACGATAACGATCACGACCACAACAATACAGATGACAATGAATACGACGATGACAATGACGATAGACATGATGATGACGATGATGATAATGACGATGACGTTAATGATTATAATAATTATAATAATAGTAACGATAATAATGGTGATGATAATGATGTTAATAATAACGCAAATAATGGTGAAATAGATAAATGTGATGATAATGATTATAATGATAAAAACAGTAATAATGATGACGACAACGACAACAACGATGATGACGACGATGACAAAAATGATAATGATTATAATGATGTTAATAATGATAATAACAATGATAATGACGACGACAACAAAGACAATGACTATGACGATGACAATTATAATAAACGATAACGATGACAATAACGATGCCAATGAGAAGATCAATAATAATAATAATAATAATAATGATATGATGATGATAATAACAATGATAATGATAGTAATAATGCAAACGATAGGAATGACGATAATGTTGATAGTTACAATAATAATGGTGATACTAAAAATGATGATAATGATGATAATGCTGATAATGATGATAATAAAAATAATAATAATGATGATTAAAGTAATAACAATACAGATGATAAGAATAACTATGTTAATGATTATGATAATAATAAAAATATTTATGATAATGATGCTTATGACGATGATAATTATAAAATTAATAACGATAATGATAACGATGACAACAACAACTATGACGACGATAGCAATGACGACAATGATGACGACAACGACAATGACAATGTCGAGATCAATATTAATTATATTTGCGACAAAAATGATCAGAATTATAATGATTTTAACGATGGTGATGATAATAATAATGATAAAAATGTTAATTATTATAATGATAATAGTGTAAATAATAATAATGATATTAATAACGACCACAACGACAATGACAATGACAATGACGATAATAATGACGATAACGACGACGATGACAATGATAATGATAACGATGATAATAAAGATAATGATAATGACGATAAAGATGATGATGATGACAATGATAATGATGATACCGATGACGATGGTGATGATAATGACGATGACGATGACGATGATGATGACGATGAGGATGACGATAATAATGATTATGATTATGATTATGATGATGATAATAATAATGATAATAATCATAATGATGATTATGATAATGATGATGATGATGATGATGATGATGATGATGTTGATGATGATAACGATGATAATGATGATAATGATAACGATGACGATGACGATGGCAATGATGATGGCAATGATGATAATGATAATGATGATAATGAT